CACATTTGCTTTTCTTCCAGAAGCGTTTCACTCAGACATACAAAATGTAAAACTAAAAATGAATGCCCTTATATGGAGATGTGTGGGCATGTTTAATGTAAATGACTAGCCTCGGTATGGAGTCGCTCACTTACAATTCTACAAACTGGCAATGTAACAATATATCGTTATTCGTTATTAGTAATTCAAGTTTTGTGGTCCTGATAATGCCAAATGTTTGAAAAAAAGTGCCCTACGGTGCAAGCATATTCATCTAAAATAATTCATTATTTTCAGCTTCTGAATCATGAATATTGTTATTCTGGTGTCTCTATGGGCTATATGCACGCATAAGCTCCGCATTTGACGCAAGGATCCTCGTCAGTTTCCGGTTGTGGATATTAAAGCGGAGGAAAACGGGATTATGGCAGAGTCTTCAATATTTACTGTCCTCCCGTCTTTGAGACGAAACTTAAATACGTTTAGATGTAATTTTATATATAGTTATGTTTATTTAATATGATTTTAAAAAGAAGCATAAACACAACGAGGGGTGTCTGTTTTATCTGTTTTTGTGACTAACGTTTCTTTAGTATAACCATAGAGTATAAAATTCAATATAAATTCTCGGTATTGCATTGGACTCTACGATCGGCGGAAGTTATCGAGCATCCTTAATCCTTCACCGGAAATACCGCCGTGCATAAAGCCCATTGTCCAGTGCTTAGGGTTTCAGAGTCCATCATCCTACTCATTTACACACACAATATCAAATGTAGCATTTCAATCAACAGTAAATCTTTTAACGTGTTTCGTAATTGTATCGCAATTCTATCGTGAGTTCAGAATCGTGACATGAGGGTATCGGTACACCCGTCCTGCAATCTCATGAACATGCAGTGTGTTGTGTTTCTAACGAGATGTTCTCATGTCAGAGATAGCACACGCACACACACCTGGAGAGAGCTTGATCAGCCGGTTGTTCACGCCACCGTCTCCGTCCACGATGTAGATTTCTCCGGAGCTGTGGATGAAGATCTCGGCCGGCTGGTCGAACTGCAGCGGACTGAGGGACGATCCGGCTTTCCCGGGGGATCCCAGAACACGCAGGAGCTTCCCGTCCGGGGAATACTGCTTCACCGTGTGTCCGAACGGCCCTGCACACAGGAGCCAGCTTCACACACTAGAACTCGTTCAGGCGCACATGTACACTTTTATGAGGATCCCACACAGGTTTATAAACGAGAGGATCCCAAACCCACCGTTCCCCACATCCGTGATCCACAGGGACGGGTCGGCCGAGGCGTTGGCCAGGAACATCCCGTGAGGCATCTCCAGTGTGCTGCTGTTCCAGGCCTGCAGGAACTCTCCATCCGTGCTGAACACCAGCACCTTCGGGATGTTCTCGCCTCTCTGAGAGCACACACACACACTTATACAGATATTTCAACTAAATGATAGGCAATAAAATGCTCAGCGCTTTATAACACCATTTTTAGGTTTGACATGAATCATAACGAGCTGTCAAAACTACTAATGATATTATAATGTGAGTAGATAATATGAATATAATATATTATAATATGAAGAGAGTAGAAGGACACGTGTGCTTCTATAGCCAGCAGAGGAACACTCACTGGCTCACTCTCAGTTTTTGGTTTTCCACCAGTCATCTCTACTAAAGCAAGGCACATTTTCTATGTCAACTCCATTATTGCGCTTACAGACACGCACAATTTCATGTTTTAGATATAGATTGTAATTAATGATAGATGAGAAACTGCTTAATCCGGTGGCCTGCTGCACAAAGCTAGCTGGACAAACTCAGAGTTTCAGAGCAGGGTTAGAGTTGATAACTCCAACATTATTTGCATTATTTCAGGTTCAGCGGTCTCACAAAGCTCTTTATGAATATAAAACCAAAAGCAAAACCTGTAAAAAAGAACTATATTAGTGAGCAGAACGAGCCAACGAGTGGTCCCCTGCTGCCATCTGCTGGTCATAATGGCAATTTATTCCTAATTTATCATAGGAATATGACATTTTTCACCTTTAATGTTAATATTATTGCCAGATCTCTGTAAAGGTGTTCTTGCTTAGAGTCATATGTCAGATTTACTTTTCTATGCATGCATTGAGGAGTTACAGGCTTTCATGGACCCCTGGTCAAGCCATATATTGAGATGACCCTATTATAACCATCTAAATGCAAAAATTCAACTTTATTTGGAAATGATTGACTAGAGAGTCCTCAGCACTTCACACCTGAATATGATTTACCCCTTATTTTATTTCAGCTAGATGCCAAGACAACATTTCCCATTTTCATAATAGAACCAGAATAAAATTTAATCAAAATATATAGAATTAATTAAAATGTACAAAATGAATAATAAAAAATATAGATATTTCCAAAAACAAAATATTAGTACAAAAACTAACGCGAAATAACAAGTCACATTTATTTATCTGGCGCTTTTCAAAGCAGCTTCACAGTGATAACATGAAAATAATACAACACCGATCAATAATATATGCTCTGTGTTGATCATATATCATTGAAACAGTGGAAAATATAAAAATGAAATCGAAAATAACGATAGTAAAATAACTGAATCGTATCTCATAATTCGGTCATGAGTGTGTGCTCCTCACCTGCGCCACATAGACACGCCCCCTCAGGTGATTGACAGCCACTGCGAACACCTGACCGCTGAACAGCTCGGGGTTTCTGGGCCACGAAATGTCCAGTTTATAAAGCGCGCGCCCGGAAACCCGGAAGTCCGCGTGAGATCGCGACGCGACGCTCGTCTAGAAACACAGAAACTTGAATTTTTCCTCACAGAAATTTTATTTTAGGTGAATTATAAACAATACATATTGTCACTATCCACGATACAAATTGATGCATTTTTATACTGTGATATAACCGGACAAGTAACGTTAGTATAGAACTAAACAATCCCACCACAGTAATATTTGTATGAATAATATTACAGTACAGTATCCTTATTGTATTCATTAACGTTAGTTTATTCCACTTGCAAACAAATTAGAAATATATAATTGTAATACCATACATTAAAGTATACTTTGAAATAACACGTAACGTTGGCATAGTTTCATATTTAATCTCCGGTGACACTGAACACTAATCAATCAAACTCACGCGAGAGCTTATGACGCCACACATGAACATGAGGAAGAGGAATAACGCCATAGCAACAGCAATTAAACAGCAGTAATTACGCCTTCTCATTAGAGATTAAAATGAATCGTTCATCTCGAGCTTGAGTCCAGCGGCGCCGCACTTCCTGTTATGATCACATGACAACTCCTCTAAGCTCATTGGCTGACATTGACAGTGGCGCGGTGACGTCACATGCGATCGAAAAACACTTACTGTAAATAATATTGATATTACAGATCATTACAAATCATTATTCACTCACACTGAGCAAAATAATTCTGATATTTATGAGACTCTGATGCTTGTAAATCAATGAGGTCTTCCTAACAGTAGAGATACATTAAATGCATTTAAATATCAATATTTGCCAATAATGTCTCAGTAAGATATTATTAAAATGCTCCATTTTACGATTAAAGCTCTGCAGTTTTAAAACATAATGCAATTATAAATTTGCATATCACTTGTGATTCAGAAGCTTTATAGGTTTAATACGCCAAAATATGAGACATCAAACTAATGAGGAAATAAAACGCTCTGTGTTTGTTTGGGCTGTTGTGGATAATAATATATATTATGAAAAATCGAAATGGCCTTTCAGTTTCATGATGATGAAGGTATAATATAAAGAATACACAGACGGTTCCAGTGTCTGGAGAGAAGAGAGTGCCGATCCTCTGACTGTAGAGTTCATTCACTGTTATGGCATTTAGGATAAGTGAAGGTTTGTGCGATCAGATGTGTGTGTGTGTGTGTGTGTGTGTGTGTGTGTGAGAGAGAGAGAGAGAGAGAGAGAGAGAGAGAGAGAGAGAGAGAGAGAGAGAGAGAGAGAGAATGTGTGTGTATGTGTGAGTAAACATGCATGTGTTTGTGTGTTTTTACACACACAGTCCAGTACAGTTCACTCCGTTTATTTATAATCTCTCTTTAACGATTTTACTCTGGCTGGATAAAACAGTGCTTTTTAAATAAACTTTTTAATTAAAATATATTTTTTAAAGAGTTTAATGAAAAAAGGGGTTAAATAAACCCTTCTCAGCATGATCAGAATTTTTGTCTTAAGTTGAAACGTATTAAATATAATAAAAACGTATTATTTAAACTTTGTTTATATCAGTATTACAATATACAATATAATATAATATTTCTACAGTTAAACCTTATAGTACTATACAGTAAAATCACGGTAATGAAATATTACCATAGAAAACTTACATGGCACTTCAGAGAAGATCACGTGACTGGACTAGAGTATGATATTACAGTAGCACATGGTTATACCAACTCATTAGTGTAACTGGATTATTACTGCCATATTACAATTTAAAACAACGAATCGCGTCATGAACATGTTACAGATGATAATCATGAGCTCGTTCTTAATTTCAGAAGGTTTTGAGTCAGTAATTGAAGCTAAGCTAACATTAACTTACCTGAACAAACTAACACAACATGAACTTTGAGCTTCACCAACCAAACTGAATTTAATCACTACACACCAAATCACCACTCTTGATTAATTTATCCAAAATACCTGTTTACTGTCAGAGTTAAGCTGATGTTTACCAAACACGCACTATATGAACCATATCTCCGCTCTGATTATGAATATGAGTGCAATGACAGGTGTCGCGCCTATCACGTCTTGATCCGGATCGAGTGAAAGCCGAATTCAACACGCTCTTGCACGATTGACTCGTGTGTTCAGTCAGAGTTCATCACGGTGAATGACGTCAGCGCGCCAGGCCCCGCCCCCTGTGTGCGCGCGCTGATCTCCGGTCAGATGGACGCGCGGCGCGCTCTATGCTCTGCAATCACACTGAGGCTGATACACTGATCCGGGATCAGCTTTTATTTGCACTTTCAAGCGCTGCATAGCGGATCTCTCACAATCAGTTAAACAATCAGCGAGAGTACTTTGACGGTACCATCGTACATGACCAAAAAGCATGGTAATATTACAGTACTTTTTCGTTGATTACATTCAAAATAACAGATTAATACAGTCGTTCGTTCGACACATCTGACGTTCCTCTGCAATCACACACACTCAATTCTTCCCTGAGACCTCTGGTTCACTTAACGCAGGAGGTTTTCAATCTTTCACATGACCCCAAAATATAAACACAATTAAAATATATTCACCATTTATGGTGAAAAAAGTATTAATGTACAATACATCAAATATTATATGCACAATATTTCGCTTTGTTTTGAATATGTGACATTACTATGTTTCTCCCTTAACTTTAAACACTGTTATATTATTAAAATTATTTTTTATTTATTTCAACCAATCTTATTTTCATTTATTTTTTCACTTTTTCTCTGAGCTTTTCCATGGAGAAGCGATTGAACACTCTTCAAACACAGAGAACAGAGGATGATAAATAACCTGCAGTTACACCGAAGCCCACGTGTTCTAATTAGTGCAGATGTAAACAACTAACTACTGACACTATTTCTAGATGCACATGCCATGGTGAACCGATGGTTAAAACACACGCATTAGACAGAATAAACAGCAGCGGATCAGAAAGATATTAATAGACATCATTAATGTTCACACACACACATACAAAATGATGCAAAAAAAAAAAAGAGAAGTGAAAGGCAGCAGGTGTAAAAATATGCAACTGAAGGCATCTTTTTTTCCACTAAAAATATCAAAATATTTTTTTAACCAAAATACATTTACCTGAGAAGCAAAATTACATACATGACATTTTAAATAAATGTTAATAAATAGAATTTTTAAAGATTTTTTTAAGAATTATTCTCACGTCTATTATAAAATTTTGTAATTTTGACACCATTCAGCTGAAAACCATCTCTCCGCCCACACGCCCTTCTGATTGGCTGTGATATTTGATTGATTTGATTGTGATGTGATCTTGGTTGTGCAAACCAAGACTTAATATCTGATGTCATTTAGTTTCTCAAGTGAATTTATCTTATTTTATTTAAAAATACTGAGGAAGAAGCACATTTTTTTTTTTGCGGTGCTTGAGGTTTGAGCAGACGTCTCTTCATCTCGCTGATGCTCACGCGTGAAGCTGCTACACCACACTGCTCCTCTTCAGCTCCTCCATCAGAGCTGTGGATGAAAAAAACAACAATCCCAGTGTCAAATCTAGAACCACGCTGTATTTCCCTCAAGAGAATCTTCTGATTCTGATTCTGAAGTGCAGCAGAGGAAGAGCATGACTGACCGTTGATGATTTCATCTTTGGTTTTCTGCAGCTCTTTGCGCATCTCCTGCAGGATTTCCTGTTATCAGACATAACATGCTTTAGTAAGTCATTGTGTTCAAAAGAGACACAAATCAATGTGTGAGAAGGAGCTGCTGACCTCTTTGAATTTCTCCAGGTCGGAACCGTCTTTGGATCCGGAGTCTCCTCCGGTGCTGCTGCCTGGCCTCGTCCTGCAAGAACCATAGACACACAGGGATCCAGTGATCAGAGACACAGAACCCTCTGAACATGCAGAACCCTCAGAGACACACAGAACCCTCAGAGACATATAGAACCCTCAGAGACACACAGAACCCTGCAAGACATACAGAACCCTCAGAGACAAACCAAACCCCCAGAAACACACAGAACCCTCAGAGACACACAGAACCCTCAGAGACACACAGAACCCTGCAAGACATACAGAACCCTCAGAGACAAACCAAACCCCCAGAAACACACAGAACCCTCAGAGACACACAGATCCCTCTGAACGTGCAGAACCCTCAGTGACACACAGAACCCTCAGAGACAAACCGAACCCTCAGAGACAAACCGAACCCCCAGAAACACACAGATCCCTCAGAGACACACATGACCCTCAGAGACACATATAAACCTCGGAGACACATAGAACCCTCAAAGACACATATAACCCTCAGAGACACACAGAACCCTCAGAGACATACAGAACCCTCAGAGACACATATAACCCTCAGAGACACACAGAACCCTCAGAGACACATATAACCCTCAGAGACACACAGAACCCTCAGAGACACACAAAACCTTCAGAGACAAACAGAACACTCAGAGACACACAGAACCCTCAGAGACACACAGAACCCTCAGAGACACATATAAACCTCGGAGACACATAGAACCCTCAAAGACACATAAAACCCTCGGAGACACATATAACCCTCAGAGACACACAGAACCCTCAGAGACACATATAAATCTCGGAGACACATAAAACCCTCAAAGACACATAAAACCCTCAGAGACACATATAACCCTCAGAGACACAGAACCCTCAGAGACACACAGAACCCTCAGAGACACACAGAACCCTCTAAGACACACAGAACCATCTGAGACACACAGAACCCTCAGAGAAACACAGAACCCCCAGAGACACAAAGAACACTCAGAGACATATAGAACCCTCAGAGACACACAGAACCCTCAGAGACACATAGAACCCTCAGAGACACACAGAACCCCAGAGACACAAAGAACACTCAGAGACATATAGAACCCTCAGAGACACACAGAACCCTCAGAGACACATAGAACCCTCTAAGACACACAGAACCCTCTGAGACACACAGAACCCTCAGAGACACATAGAACCCTCTAAGACACACAGAACCCTCTGAGACACACAGAACCCTCAGAGACACACAGAACCCCCGGAGACACAAAGAACACTCAGAGACATATAGAACCCTCAGAGACACACAGAACCCTCAGAGACACATAGAACCCTCTAAGACACACAGAACCCTCTGAGACACACAGAACCCTCAGAGACACATAGAACCCTCAAAGACACATAGAACCCTCAGAGACACACAGAACCCCCAGAGACACAAAGAACACTCAGAGACATATAGAACCCTCAGAGACACATAGAATCCTCAAAGACACATAGAACCCTCTGAGACACACATAACCCTCTGAGACACACAGAACCCTCAGAGACACATAGAACCTTCAAAGACACATAGAACCCTCAGAGACACACAGAACCCACAGAGACACAAAGAACATTTAGAGACATATAGAACCCTCAGAGACACACAGAACCCTCAGAGACACATAGAACCCTCAGAGACACACAGAACCCTCAGAGACACACAGAACCCTCAGAGACACATAGAACCCTCAGAGACACACAGAACCCTCAGAGACACACAAAACACTCAGAGACACACAGAACCTTCTGAGACACACAGAACCCTCAGAGACACATAGAACCCTCAGAGACACACAGAACCCTCAGAGACACACAGAACCCTCAGAAACCCTCAAAGACACACAGAACCCTCAGAGACACACAGATCCCTCAGAGACACACAGATCCCTCAAAGACACACAGAACCCTCAGAGACACACAGAACCCTCAGAAATATAGAGAAAGCTTAGTTTGAAGTATGAAATACCTGCTCAATGGAGCCGCGGTTGCCGGAGAAACCGGGCTTTTAGGGGTTGAGTTCACCCTGTTTAAACCAGTGTGCATATCTTTAATTAAACCAACTAAAACATTTTTGTTAAGCTGAAATAAAACAAAATATAAATATAAAATTAAATAAACCAAAAATAAAATAAGATGAAGCTCAAAGATTAATATCTGAAATAAAAGAAAACTATTTAGAAATATTTTTAAAAGCAAAACCTCGCATATAAATAAATAAATAAAATGAAAATGAAAACTTATGACCGGTTTAACTGATCCTGTGAACAGACACACAGAAGAAGACGCAACTTTACCGTGAAACGGACGACGGCTTCTCCCACGGCTTCTTCACCACGTCTGCTTTATCTGAATGAGAAACACAAGTGTGTTTGAGGTCAGGATGTGAAGTGAACCGTTCAACGTAAACAGGAAGTAAACAGGAAGTGTGGTGAGAAGTGATTTTCTCACCTGCAGATCTGGAGTCACTGCTCACAGAATCAGCCTGAGAACAGAGATCAGAGATCAGAGATCAGCGTCCCCATCACACACACAGAGCTCTAGTAAAACACAAACACACTTACGCTGCTCACTTCAACCTTCTTCGCCCCTGGAGTGTCCGACATTTTTTTTCTGTAACACACAGAGAGGAAGATCTTTAAATAAGGCTGCAGATATTCTGTCGACTTCCTGTCTAAGCGGGTGGTTTTTGACTAAATTTATGCTATAGTACTCCAGGGCAAACATCACATGATTGTGGTAGCATTTAACTGACCGTCGAGCAAGAATTGCGCTCATTTCTCCCATCAGTCCTGGTCCTCCACCTCCTCCTCCTCCACCTCCTCCACCTCCTCCTCCTCCTCCTCCTCCTGAACTGGCGCTCGCCGCAGGAGCCGCCGCTCCACTGTCCTCCTGCACATCCAACAAACAACCAGCAGAGGGCTTTTGACTTTAAGGGCCTTCATTGTAAACAACAATATTCAAAGTTTTTGGGGGGGCAGAATTAAACGAATAAAAATCTTGATCTTGAGTTTTTTAGCTTAGTTTGTCTCATTTTAAGTCATCTTGAGGCCCCTGGTTGAAAAGAGCTGGCCCACGATCTCGTAAACTGGGTGGTTTCATCTGTCAGGTGATCAGATCTGTAGTTTTGATGTATCATGGACAACACTGAAGGACCGCCCACCCCCCTGTCAATCACTTACTTGGAACATGTACAAAAGCTCAAACATAGAGACAGAGCGACATGCATCATAATCTGAAAACCACGCCCATCGAAGAGGGATGCAATGAAGAGGGAGCAAGACGCTGTGTTGAGACGCTGTGGAAACGCCCCTGCGTGATTGCATCGTGAAGCTGCGTGAAATCAGTCCAATGGACGAGACGCAAACTCGGAAACTATAAAGCATACCCAGAAACAGACCCTGCTAGCTTCTGATATCCTGAAGCAAATCAATCACGGGCATGCCGGGAGTATAGCAGGGTAACTCTCGTTCCCTCTTCCCTATAATGGGATCCGCAACATTAGCAAGGACCTTAGGGACATAACCCATCCAAGGATGAAGAAAGGCATACAGGTATAGCCTCAGGCACAACTGAACCATCACACTGAACCCCAGGGCAGCATCAGCCGTTAGCGTTATGCAATGACAAGAAGCCTCCAGCACTGGGAAGGGGACAGTTGTGCCGGCATTGTTGTCGAATCCAGAATCATGAGCCTTTCTAAATCTGAGACAGACCGATTTCATTCAACATGCGAATGCCCTGGAGTCTCAGTGGAGCCAGAGCTGCACCCATGCATGTTGAAAGTGAATGTGCGGGGTGATAAACCTAGGCCGAAGGGACGAATTTGATATTGGTACGCTTCCCCCCCTGAAAGCGAACCTTAGGACCTCCCTTTGATGAGCATGGATGGCTACATTAACGTGTCCTACAAATCTATTGAGACAAACTAGTCCTCGGACTGAATCTGTGACGAGATCTGTTTGAGTGTAAGCATCTTGAACCCTGCGGTTAGGTTGGCACAGGTCGAGAATAGGATGCAACCCTCCATCCTTCTGTGGTACAATGAAGTAACGGCTGTAAAACCCTGACTCCCTGCTGGGACGAGGAACTCTTTCTATAGCCTCCATTTGTAGAAGAGTCTGAACATCTTGCTACATAACCAGAGCCTGTTCGGGCTCCACCACAATGGGAGGATCCCTAGAATTCTGGTCGGACAAGAACCGAAGTTAATTCTGTAACCCTTTTCTATTTTAAGCAGGACCCAACGAGATATATTTGGCAGTAGCTTCCATGCCGCCAGAAATTCTACTAAGGGGATCAGTCTCTCAAGAAACTGGCCTCTGGTATTGGTCGAACAGCAACCTCGGAGCCTAAAATGGCGAACTGGCAGATAACAACCGAACTGGCAGCACTGCGGCCCTCCTTCCCCGAGAGAGCGCTGAGGAGAAACGGGCACCGTGTAATGAGCTGGAAACCATTTATCCCAGGAGGGCCTTTCTTAGTTGAAGACATCTTCGAGATAATGACAGTCCTCAGATCTCGACTGCGATTGCCACCAAGACCCGCCTGATTGTGGAGGAGCCTGAGTGGCGGCACCTCTTTTCTATGCTGTGAGGAGCTCGTATACGGCCGAGACTGCTCCCGCTCAGCTCCCCCGTCTCGGGAACCATAGTTCGGGGAGGAAGAAACTTCTGGAAGGCTGCAGCTTGTTTCTTCGCCTCCTGAAACCTCTCAACGAGCATGTTAGCCGAGTCGCCGGAGAGGCCGGAAGGTGAAAGTGAAGCATCCATTAGAACAGATCTATCCCCATCTTTCATGTCAGATAGATTTTACCCTAAGATGTCTCTCCGTGGCCAACATGTCTCTCCAGGGTTGCCTTAGAGCGGCCTACTGACTTGGCCGTCTCCTTGGTGGCCAGAGGAGACAAATCTGTTGTGCACTTTTGTGTCTTTAAACAACTTGTTTCTGTTTTTTTTTACTTGTTTGCTGTACACCTTTTAGACATTGTTTTGTTTTTTGTTATAATTCAGCAATGACAAGGAGGCAGCTTCTCGCAATATTAAGTCAATGGAGATGGTTGGATTGCCGGTGGGCGTGGCCTAAATGCGCTCTGTCTCTACACAGGAATCTTATTAAACAGCACAGATGATGAACACAGTGGATAGGGTGAACTTCGGACTGACCTTGGCCACTTTCCGTAGTTTAGCTCCAGCGAGTGCTGCGGCCAGACCTCCATCTCCTCCTAGTCCTCCTCCTCCTCCTCCTCCACCTCCTCCACCTCCTCCTCCTCCTCCTCCTGAGGGCGGGGGCGGGGGTGCTGGACCTCCTCCTGAAGGAGGTGGTGGTGGGGGCGGCGGCGGTGGGGGTCCTGGAGCAGGTGGAGGTCCGGGTGGAGGAGGAGGAGGAGGACCAGAGGCCGGAGCGGGAGGAGGAACAGGAGGCGGGGCTGGAGCCACAGACGCACGTCTCTCTCTCTCCAGTCGCTCTTGCTCCTGTCTCTCTCTCTCCTGCTGCTCCTGCCTGAACACACACACACCAGTTACACTAAGCATGTCACTGACATCCACATGAGAACCATTTCAAAATAGAATCAATAAATGCACAAATAAAAAAATATATAAATAAATGCACAAATAAATGAATAAAAGCCAAAAAATTAATAGATACACAAATATATTAATAAAAACAAAAATAAATAAATTATTTATTTGTGTTTATTAATTTATTTGTGCATTTATTTATTTATTTATTTGTACATTTGTTAATTGATTTGTGTATTTGTTAATACATTTGTGCATTTATTAACTTATTTGTGCATTTGTTAATTTATTTGTGCATTTTTTCTTTATTTGTTTGTTTATTTAACGAACGCACAAATAAATAAATACAGAAATAAAAAATAAATGCAAAAATAAATAAATACAGAAATAAGTTAATAAATGCACTAATAGATTAATAAACGGACAATTAAATTAATAAATAAATTCATAAATAAATATTAATATTATATATATAATAAATATTAAAATAAATTAATAAATGTGCACATAAATAAATGCACAAATATTTAAATGAATAAATATATATTCTTAGGGACCGTATACATATATATTATAGAAAAATAAATATACATTATATTATATATTTTCAGAGGGACTGATAAATAAACATGTATATATTGTATATTCTCAGACGTACAAATAGATAGAAAACTCGTATCGCTTCTGTAATGTGACACATGAAACAGGATGTTCAATGAGAAATAAATGTGGGTAAATGAGATTGATGAATAAGAGGCACTGATGACATCAGCTGTTACATTCTGATGATGTAAAATAAGATCCCTGATGAAGCGCTAGCAGTGAAGATGCTGATGATCATACCTCCTCTTCCGCTCTAACTCCTCCGCGCTCGGGCCGTTCTGAGGCGGTCGAGGAGAGGGAGGACATGCACCTGTACGAAAGAGACCGAATCACACAGATCAGACCAAACTCCACACATACGAGACAGTAATAACTCCTAGGGGTGGAACAATATATCAAGTCACATATATCGCAATACAAAAATTAACTATAGGCTAAGTCTCGTGTGAGAAAAATTAAAGTTTTCAGAATATTAGTGTCAGAACTTCATTAAACCTAATATATAATGTTGAATATAATGTATAATACTGCAATGGGGAATATTTGTGTGTCCTGATAATGCCAAATATCTGATGTTACCAGTAAAAACAGCCTACACTATTGTAAATATATCTAGTCCGAGTTCAAGCATATTCATCTACAATAATTTAGTATTATCAGCTTCTGAATCATGAATATTGTTATTCTGGTGTCTCTTGGTGCTTCGGCACCAAGTCCATCCTGTTCATTTACACACACACACACTGTAATATCAAAGTTAGCATTTTAATCAACAGTGCATTTTTTGTTATTCTTTTATCATGTGTCTTGGAGTATGGCAGTGATATGAGGGAACCGTTACACCGCTAGTGACCCCTGATGACTGACCCGAGTCGGCCTGGCCGTTGAGCACGTCGAGCGCGTGCATCATCCCGCTAGCGAACTGAGCCGCGTCTTCTTTACTGCCGAAGTTCAGCCCCCACACCTGCCGCGAGTCCCGCCACTGGTGGAACGTGGGCGTGGCCTGGTTATACTTGATCCCGCGGACCAGAGGACAGTTAATGACCACCTGCACACACACACACACACACACACACTGGAGTCACATTCACAAAGGACAGGATATATTAAAAATAAATCTGAATGACAACTATTTGACTTGTTCGATGTTATGTATTAGATCATCTTTGATCAACAAAATTAAATATTGAAAAGCTTTTTTTACAGAATTTTTTGTAGACATCAGTGTTTATATGTGAACTATAAATTTTTATCCCAGCACTTCTGAGATAATCTGATCTGAAGTGGCAAAACAGAAATAATGATTCTCTGTGGTTAAGAAGTTTCACATCTACACATGACAACGGCTCTCTCTGGATCAGAACGCAGATCTGCATAGGCCTAACAAACTAAAATATGAGATATTAAATATTACATAATAGCTTTCCTGCACTTTAAACAGTAGAGCGTTGGCGCTTGCAACGTCAGGTCATGGCTTCGATTCCCAGGGAAAGCAAGAACTGATAATAATGTAAATGTGTGGCTTGAGTCTCTTTGGATAAAGATCTGTAACGTTAGGGTTAGGACTTTAACGTTAGGAGCCGAATCGTTGTTATTTAGGAGCAAGACTGCGTGGGATCTTTTAGAGATGAATTATACAGCTCTAGCGTATGAATGCAGGATATGAATGCATTACTCCTCATATTTTGCATGGCACCTGATTTTAAGTTTATTTCAGTTCCTAAAGTAGGCACACCGCCACCTACAGGGCAGTGACGGCACTTCGTATACGAGATGAGGAAATGATATTTATCCAATATATTGACGAGATATTTTTTGAAGCATACTGGTTTACTATTGGCCGTTTTGGTTTCTTCGAGCACCAGTACAACACAACACGTTTCGGTTACTCGAGTTAGATTGGAATTAGTGACCCGTAACTCAAGAGATATTTTCGCTGTGCGTTTGCTCAAGTGTTGTTTTAGGCACTCTTCGCACCACAGACGGCGTGCATCAGCGCACGAACCAAACTCACAGGAAATGAAAGACAATTCAGAAGCCGTGAGACCGAGACGTCTCAGAGAAAACCACAGAGATCTGCGACACACACTCATCTATGATGCCCAGCATGCAGATAAACAGCAGCGACACCAAACATGAAGATATCCACAGTAAAACTGAACGAACAGTATCTACACACACATCTCTGTGACTTCCTCCTTCCTCATGCTGTGGCTTCACACACACACACACACACACACACCACTTCCCATGATTGTCTAAACCTGTCTCACACGTTAAATGCCCGTTTACCTGGATTAAATGGCTTTAAAGGGGTGATATAATCCCCTTATTCACAAGATATAAAATAAGTGTGTGTGTGAAGTTTGAGGGTGAGCAAAAACACACTGTTTTGCGTCTGTCCCTTTAAATGCAAATGAGCTGCTGCTCCCGGCACAGGGGGCGGAGCTTAAACAGATCGTGTGCTTAGCAGCTTCCATTACCTCACACACACACACACACACTGAAAATTTCAAAAACTTTTAGCCTGTTATGTTCAAACCGGAGTCGGACGAAGATTTCTGATGGTTATTTGATGCATTTATGTTGCTTATGTGTAATTATCTTCCAGTCATGGATCAGCATATTCTGTCATGATAATCTGTAAATCGTGTTCCCGGGGGCGGGGTTTATGTAAATGTTAGGGTTGGTGATGTCACTAACCCGGGGGGAAGCTCGTGTAGTTCTACCAGCCGTGTGTTGTAGTCCTTAAGAAGTGATTTCTTTAAAAGCAAATCTCTCTTGGCTCTGAACTTTGAGCGTTGTAACATTGTGCAGATGTTGTTTATGCTCAAACAGCAACACTACACACACTAACTCCAGCTAGAGAAGTGAACCGATAACAAATGTAAAGAGTGTGTTCACCTGCTGGTCCGCCTGCTGCTTGCGGCCCACCACCCTGAAGCTGTTGTTGCTGGGGTTCTGGAAGACGTGGACCCGGCTGACGGCCTGAGCTCCGGAACCGGCCGGGACCCAGCGCTTACTGCCGTCATCGTACATCATCACCGTGGCCCGCGCCTGACAGATGCTCTGCTCACTGGAAAACAAACACAACGTTCACTTCAGAAACTGTGGAAAACTGAAGCTCCATCCCAGCGAACAGGGAACGTTCTCTCAAAGTTATGAACAAACGTCCAGTAACGTTCACCCAAAAGCATCGTGAGCCTAAGCTAATATATATATATTAACAAGACAGCTGCACATACAAAGTAATAGACTAATGACACATTCACACAAGTACACAGAGGGAAGAACAAACCCTGAATATATAGATGTACAGATAGTGTATGCAGGTACAGGGACAGTTTTAATGAATAGGTTATTCCAGTGTGATATAACAACATGAAAATAGGTTTCATAAATTAATAACAACATTTGCAAAACATTCGCAGAAAATGTTGTTAGCTGGAATGTCAAAAAATGATATCTAATATGACAGAATCAAGCAGACGACATCAGGACACCCGATGTAAACACTGATGCTCTTCCTCAATATTTTTGTCTTCTCTTCCAGCCAAAAGTATGGAATAATTCACTTTTTGTTTTGTTTTTAAAAGTGTCTCTTCTGTTCACCAAGGCTGTATTTATTTGATCAAAAATACATTAAAAACAGTGAAATATTATTACAATTTAAAAGATCCCCTAACTAACTTTATTTTGTTACAAATTAACACAATTTAAATGAGTCAGTACATCACTCCTTCCTAAACGTGTTTATGTCTTACCCTGATTCACTTTGGCTGCTCTATTATAAGTGATTATAGACGGAGTCCGTAATAAAACAAGAATCAACATCAGCTTGGCTTAAGGAGATGACGAGAGAACCGAGGAGTTTAAAACGTTAAAAAAGCAACTTTGAGATGATTGGTGTTTTATACAGGAATATAAATGCCAATATAAATCCCTATATAAATGCCTATATGAATGCCTATATAAATGCCTATATAATGCCTATATAAATGACTATATAAATGCCTATATAAATGACTATATAAATGCCTATATGAATGCCTATATAAATACCTACATGAATGCCTATAGGAATGCCTATATAAATGCCTATATAAATGCCTATATAAATGCCTATATAATGCCTATATAAATGCCTATATAAATGCCTATATAATGCCTATATAAATGACTATATAAATGCCTATATGAATGCCTATATAAATACCTACATGAATGCCTATAGGAATGCCTATATAAATGCCTATATGAAGCCTATATGAATGCCTATATAAATGCCTAAATGAATACCTATTTAAATGCCTATAGGAATGCCTATATAAATACCTATACCTATATAAATACCTACATGAATGCCTATAGGAATGCCTATATAAATGCCTATATAAATACCTATATAAATATCTATGTGAATGCCTAATGGAATGGCCATATAAATACCTATAAAAATGCCTATATAAATACCTATATGAATGCCTATAAGAATACCTATATGAATGCCTATAAGAATGCTTACATGAATGCCTATATGAATCCCTATATAAATGCCTATATAAATACCTATATGAAATCCCATATAAATGCCTATATAAATGCCTATATGAATGCCTATATAAATGCCTATATGAATGCCTGTATGAATCCCTATATAAATGCCTATAAATGCCTATATGAATGCCTATATAAATGCCTATATGAATGCCTATATAATGCCTATATAAATGCCTATATGAATGCCTATATGAATGCCTGTATGAATCCCTAT